GGGCTGGTCTTTCTTGTGTTCTCTTTTCCACGTTACTCATACATGTTCCATTTTTCATTTCAAACTTTAGTATCAATTAACTAATTCCATACTTAATTGGGATAGAATCTGGGATAAATGACACTTTATAATGTCAAGTTAGCCTATCTAAGACATGAAATATCTTTCTGTCCTCCAGTGTCTTTTAGGAGCAGTTTCAAATTTTTTCCTGATATGTGTTTTATACATATTAAATGAATTCCTAAATTTTAAACCACCTTAGTTGGTATTGTAAATGATATTTTATTATGCATTTTAACCTTTCTTTGTTAGTATGAAAGTTATCGATTATGGTGTGTTACTTTTACATCCTGCTGCTTTGCTGAGTTTCTTTTGTTTTCAGGGTGAGTCACATTTATCAGTCTTTGAGTTTTGTCAGGCACCCTTTCATATCGTTGGTTAGTAGATTCAGTTTTGTTCTTTACTCAACAATATGCCTCTCATTGATTTTACTTAGTCACATTGATAACACCCTTGTCTTACATTACTCAGCTTTCTGCCACTTTATAAACAGATGGCGCAGGCTTATCTGGGTCATGGCTCTGAAGGTCCAAGTCCAAGATCAAGTAGGTGCATTGATTAGAGCCTTTGGGAAGTGCGGCATGCCAGGGCAGGATGTGTGTTGGAGAACACATTCACATCTCAAAACCAGAAAGTGGAGAGACTACACTGAGAAAGCAGGTTACCATTCTCCCCTTCAGGGACCTCTGATGACTTAAGGATCTCCCAATAAATCCCACCTCTTAAAGGTCCACAGCACCTCCCCCAAACTGCTACTATGGAGGACAAACCTTTGTATATGAACCTTTGGGGGACACTCACTCAACATGCAAACTGTAGCAGGTCCAGTGGTGAGCAGAGGTGACATAGTAGAGATTTTAGTGGAAATTCTTTTAACCTTTCTGTTCCTCCCTCGTGCTTATTTTCTTGAATAACATCATCATGAATGTGTGTTGAATTGTGTCAAACACTTCCCACATCTATGGAGATGAAACAATTTATTTTTATTAGATTTATTGATAATGATATCATAACATTAATCATTTCCTATGTAAAACAAATTTTTGAATTCCTGGAATAAGTCTCACTTACATAAAGTATATTACTTTTTTAATGTGGAATTGAATTCTATTTCTGGTTCTAGTCAGAAGTTTTGCATTCACAATTAACACTGAATGATCATTTTCTTTGTGCCCTTTTTCTTGTTTAGGTACCAGCATCAAACTTGCTTCTTTTCCTCATTGTCAGAATAATAGTATGAAATATATGAAAGTGTTTCACATGAATATGAAAGTGTTATACCTGTGTACAATTTACTCCAGTCTCACTCACCCCACACTGCCCCCTTTCACACCCTTTCCTCATCCTGATCATGGTTCCCTCTTCCATTTCCATGTTGTTTTGTTAATCTAGATCCCACAAAAAGAGAAAGCATGCAATATTTTTTTTTCTGAGACAGGCTTAATTCAGTTAATATGATAATATCCAGTTTCATCTGTTTTCCTGAAAACAGCATAATTCAATTCTTCCTCACGATTGAATATTACTCCATTGTGTATATATACATTGTGTATATATATATTGTGTTTATGTTTGTTATCCATTTGTCTGGTGATAGGCCATAAGGCTGATTCTATATCTTGGCAGTTGTGAATACTCCACAATGAACATGGGTGTGCAGTTGTCTCTGTTGTATTGATTCCTTTGGGTATATACCAAGGATTGGTATAACATGACCATATGGTAGTCTTGTTTTAGTTTTTTGAGGAACCACTATACTTATTTCCATAGTGCCTAGACAAATTTACATTCCCACCAACAGTGTATAAGGATTCCTTTATCCTGCATCCTTGCTAACATCTGTTGTCGTTTGTTTCATTGATGATAGCCATTCTGACTGGGGTGAGGTGGAATCCCAGTGTGGTTTTGATTTGCATTTCCTTTATTGCCAAGGATGTTGAACATTTCTTCATGTGTTTACTAGCCATACATACTTCTTCTTCTAAGAACTATCTGTTCAATTCAATTGCCCCTTTATTTATTGTATTATTTAATTTTTTGAGTTCTTTATGTATCATGGGTATTAATCCCTCATCAGAGAAATAGCTGGTGAAATTTTTCTTCCGTTCTTTAGACTGTCTCTTCACTCTGGTAACTGTTTCCTTTGCTGTAAAGAATACTTTTAATTTGATGCAATTCCATTTGTCAATTCTTGCTACTAGTTCCTGAGCTGATTTCTTGCAGTGTTTTCCTGTAATAGTTTTAACGTTTCTGGTGTTCTGTTACAGTCTTTGATCGGTTTTGAATTGATTGTTGTTCAGGTTGAGAGATAGTGGGTCAGTCTTCTGCTGTGGATAGCCAGTTTCCCCAACATCACTTGTTTTCTCCAACATAAGTTTTTGGCACCTTTGCTGAGAATCAGAGGGCTATAGCTGAGTGGTTTTCATTTATGGATTTTCTGTTCTGTTCCATTGGTATTTATGTCTGTTTTCATGCAGTACCATGATGTTTTTGTTACAACAGATCTGTAGTATAATTTGAGATCAGGTATTGTGATACTTCCCGCATTGCTCTTTTTGCTCAGAATTGGTCTATTTATGGTCTTTTGTGCTTCTATATAAATTTTAGGATTATTTCTATTCTGTGAATAATGTCATTGGAATATTGATGGATACTGCTTTGAATCTATGCATTGCTTTCAGTAATATAGTCATTTTCAAAATATCAATTCTGTTGATCCATGAACATGGGAAGCCTTTCCATATTCTAGTGTCTTCTTTGATTTCTGTCCTCTTTGTGTACTTTTCATTATAGAGGTCTTTCATCTGATTGATTAGATTTATCCTAGGCATTAAATTTATTTTTTCAGGCTAGAGTGAATGAGATTGTTTTTCTGACTTCTTTTTCAGATGCAGAAAATCTGCAGAATTCAACATTCCTTCATGATAAAAGCCCTGAAGAAACTAGGAACAGAAGCAACATGCCTCACTCAACATAACAAAGGCTATATATGACAAACCAATACCCAACATTTCACTAAATTGGGAAAAACTGAAAGCATTTCCTCTAAAATCAGGAATGAGACAAGGGTGTCTACTATCACCACTGTTGTTCAATACAGTGCTTGAATTCTTAGCCAGAGCAATATGGCAAGAGAAAGAAATAATAAGGATACAAATAGGAAAGGAAAAAGTCAAATTACTCCTATTTCAGATGATATGATTTTATACTTAAAAGATCCTAAAACCCCACCAGAAAACTCTTAGATCTAAATAAACTCTTCCAGCAAAGTAGCAGGATATAAAGTCAACATACACAAATCAGTAGTCTTTCTATACACCAATAGTGAACATGCTGAAAAAGAAGTCAGTATAATGACCATACTACAGAAAGCAATGCATAGATTCAATGAGGTATCCATCAATATTCCAATGACATTATTCACAGAACAGAAAAAAATCCTAAAATTTATATGGACTAGTTTGAAAAGCAATGATGTTAGCTCTTCATTAAAGGTCTGGTAGAATTCAGCAGTGAATCCATCCAGTCTTGGGTGTTTCTAAAACACCCAATTGGCTTTCTTGGGAAAGCCAATTAATGATATCTCATGGCATGTTATAGCTCTGTTTAAGTTGTTTATACCCTCTTGGTTCAATTTTGGTAGGTTGAGTATATCTAAAAACATATCCATTTCTTCAAATTTGAATTTATTGGAATATAACTTTTCAAAATATTCCCTAATATCCAACTGAATTCACTGGTATCTGTTCACATTCCCTTCTTTATCTCTGATTTTATTAATTTAGATCTTCTCTTTCTTTTAGTTAGCTTAGTCAAGAGTTTTTAAATCTTGTTTCTCTTTTCAAAGAATGAAGTCTTTGTTTCTTTGATTCTTGGTATTGTTCTTTTAGTCTTCATTTCTTTCATTTCTGTCCTTATCTTTATTATTTATTTCCATCTAACAATTTTGAGTTTTACTTGCTCTTGTTTTCTCAGATCTTGAGGTACATCATTAGGTTATTAATCTGAGATTTCTTGGATTTTTTAAAATGTAGGCACTCATAGCTATAATCTTTTCTCTTAGAACTCCTTTTGCTGTATACCATAGGCTCTGGTATGTTGTGTTTTCATTTTCATGTGATTCTAGGAATTTTTAGTTTCCTCCCTGGTTTCTTCAGTGATGCACTGATTATTCTAAGTGTATTGTCGGTCTTCATGTGTTTGTATAGTTTCTTTTGTTACTGATTTCTAATTTTATTCCATTTTGATCTGATAAGACCCAAGAAATTATTTCAATTTTTCTATTTGTTAAGTTTTGCTTTATAGCCTAAAATATGATCTATTTTGGAGAACACTCCATGGGCTGCTCTTGGATGAAATACTCTGTTGATGGCTGTTAAGTCCATTTTATCTGTGGTGAACTTTAACCCTGATGTTGGTTGATTTTTTTCTCTGGATAGTCTATTTTTAAAGTGGGGTGTTGAGGACAACCACTACTATTGTATCTGGACCTATCCAGATCTTTTATATCCAGTAGTTTTGTCTTATGGAATTGGGTGCACTGACATTCAGTACACATGTATTACAATTGTTACATCTTCTTGATGGATTCTTCCCTTTTGTAATATGTACTGATTATTTATCTCTTCCAATTTGGGCTTGAAGTCTACTTTGTCAAATATGAATATAGCTTTTCCCACTTGCTTTTTTTCTTCTTGCTTGGTATATCATTTTACATACTTTTACTTTCAGTCTGTGTGTGTCTTTGCCCAGTGAGGTGAGTCTCTGGTAAACAACAGTTGGATTTTGTTATTTAATCTGATCAGCCATTCTTCATCTTTTAATTAGAGAGTTAAGATCACCTACATTTTGGGTTAATATTAAGAGGTATTTGCTGATTCTTGTAATTTTATAGGATATTTTTCCTGATTTACTTGAGTCCTATTTATTTGGTTCTTTCTTTCTTATTCATATTTGGAGTTTACTGGGTTGAACATGGCTGATTCTTTCTTAATTATCATTGTTCATCTATTCCTCTCATAAATTTTATTCTTTCCTAAGCTCTCATGTTTGCAACTGTCTTTCTTCCTTATCTGTGTGTACAGTTCCTTTAAGTATCTTCTACTAATGCTGGCTTAGTGATCATGAAAAGCTTTAGCTGGTGCTTATCTTGGAAAGTCTTTATTTCTCCATCAATTTGAAAGGATGTTTTTGCTGGATATAGCAGTCTTGGTTGGCATTTATTTACTTTTAGGGCTTAAACTATATCATTCCATTCTTTTCTGGGTTTTAGGGTTTCTGCTGAGAGGTCTCATGTAATTCTGATGAGTTTGCCTTTGTGGGTAATTTGACGTTTTTTCTCTTGCAGCTTTCAATATTCTTTCTTTCTTCCATAGTCTTGGTACTTTAAATATAATGTGATCTGAAAAGTTCTTTTCTGTAATAGGAATTCTAAATGCCTCCCATACTGTATTTTTCCCTAGATTTGGGTGATTTTCTGCTATAATTTCATTGAATAGGTTTTCTACACCTTTAGCTTGTATCTCATCTTCTTCTTCTATGCTATGGATTATTACATTTGTGCTCTTGATTATGTCTCAGAGTTCTGGAAAGTTGTGATCATGGTTATTATTTTTTCTTTATTGCTGTCTCAATGCTGGACTTCCTTGGCCTTGTCTTTGATTCCCAGTATTATTTCTTCTGTTTGATCTAGTTTGTGGGTGATGCTTTCTGCTGTGTTCTTGTTTGATTTACTGAGTTTTTAACTTCCACTATATCCATTCAGTTTTTTTTTAATCTCAATTTTCTTGCTGAATTTTTCATCCATGATGCTGACTTTCTTGTCCAGGTATTGCATTGACTTTCTAACTTCATTTGTCTATTTGTTTAAGCCTCCTTGAAGTCATTAATCATTTATAAAGCTGGAATTTTGAATCCTTCAATTTCAATAATTTCAGTACCTTCATATTTGGTAATTGAAAATTTAGGAGTTTTGGGAGGTGTTGTACTGCCTTGCTTTTTCATTTTTCTTGTGTTTCTGTTGGAATGGAGATGGCTTCCAGTTTTTATGGGGGTCTTCTTAGTGGAAAGCCTTGTCTTGGGATTTTGATCCCCACTAGTACTCAGAGGAGAGAAAGAAGACAGAAGTAATCAAATCAGTAATTCAAAAACCAAACCACATATTTAAATGAGTAAAAAAAACTGGAAACATCAACTATAACCCCAGAAAGTTAGGGAGAAAAAGGAACTAAGGATACTTAAAGAATAAATTCAGAGTTTGAAAATTACTAAAACTAAATGTATTAATTATTAAGTAATCATAAAAAGGGGGTATAAGAAAACAAAAAAGAGAAATAAGTAAGGTAGGGAAGAGAAGAAAAGTATATGGAATGAAGATATAAGAAACAATAGTGAGAGAGAACAAATTAAGTACCAAGAAAGACAAAACAGTTACACCAAACACACATATATAGTCAATATTTCTTCCTTGCTGAGAAGAAGGTGGGTTCCCTTCTCCCAGGTTTATCTGGGGGTTTACTTTGTGGGGTAAACAGCTGTTTTTTCTGAAGTCCAAACAAGTTAGCAAAGAAAGGCCTGTTTATATAGCTAAGCCCATCCAAGCACTAGGTGCTTTCCACCAATCCACCAGCCCCTGGGTGTGTACAAAACAGTCAAACCAAAGTAGTCTGTACTGCTGGCCAAGGCATGGGGCTCTGTAGAAAGCAGGTGAAATTTACTTTACATTTATTTACAAGAGAAATCATGGACTCTTACCAAATGCCTTGGCTTTGATCTGTTCTAGCACCACCTCCTCTTATTCACACACAGCTGATCTGTTGCCTCATACCAGAGTTTGAGCTGCATCTCTCCCAGTCTTCCATCTGCTGCCTTGTACTTTCCACTCAAGTAGATCTGTGGCCCCTGAGTCCAAATCACAGTCATTTTCCTAGGTCCACACTGATTCTCAGGGTAGTCACTCACTTAGCCCGTGGGGGTGGAGTGAGCCTTTGGGGTTTGGAGATATAAAAGTTCAGGGAATTTTGCTCTCCTCAACTGAGAGGTATGACTATAAGACCAAGAGGATTTCCTTCTACAGCACCAGTGAGCCAGCTGAGACATATAGGGAGTCTCTTCTGGCATCTGTTTGTTGCATAGTATGTAGATCTCCTGTCTTAAACTTTACTTTTGCAGAGTGCCAACTGGTACACTTGTTGGCCTTCCTGAAACTTTCATTTCACTTTTCCATTGCATGCAGCAAAGGGATCTCTTTTTTCCTTATCATTTTGCTTAGCATTCTATGTTAGAGTCCATGATTTCTGTAGTAAATGTAAAGTAAATTTCACCTGCTTTCTACACATACTATTTACAGTTTCTCTACTTTATATTTCCAAACCACCCACCTCTCCCTGCAGCCGTGCACCTGATGCCTTGTTTTAGATTCAGGGAGTCTTCCCTCCAGACTTGCTTCTTAAAGCACTCTCAATACTGTGGGATTCATAGCAAATTAAAACTGCTTAGTCTTTAAAAGTTTGTTAGAATTCCCCTATCACATCATCTGTGCTTTGTGGGTTTGGGGAAGTAGTTTTATAAAACATTTCTCTACTTTTCTATAATTATAGCTCTTTTTAAACTTTCTAATTTAATGGGGTCAATTTGAGCAATCTGTTTTCCCATTAAATTGTCGTTTCCATTTACATTTTCAAATGCTTTTGCTCAGAAATTTGCCATATAGTCTTTTCTTTTTCACTGTCTTCTGTTTTGATGGTTATTTTACACCTGTCATCTCTTGTTTTGGCTATTTGTGCTTTCTCATTTGTTTTTATTAACTTAGTGGTGTATATATTTTGCTAGTTTTATCAAAAAATAGAATTTTGATTTATTTGTCATATCTACTTTTTGTACTTATTTATCAGATACCTACTTCCTTGTTATTTTTTTCCTTTATGTTTATTATGACCTTCCTTATGCTTTCTTTTGGCTCACTTTTTGCCATTTTTTTCTAGATTTTTGAAGTAGAAACTTAGTTCATAATCTTATTGGCAAATGTGTTTAGTTCAATGAATTTTCCTTTTAACACTTTTTTTTTATTTGTGCCATATACTCTGAAATACAGAGTTTTCAATGCCACTGTCATCCCAAACTTTTGATCTGGTAGGGGTTTGAGCAGCCATCTTCATAAAACTTGGTTATTTTTCCTCTTTTACTCAGTTATTTTGCAATTTCTCTTTAAGCAGTAAAGAGAAATTGCGAATTCTTCTTTAAGAAGGTGTAATTTGTGATTTTTTTGTTGTTGCAGTACTGGGGTTTGAACTCAGGGCCTCATGCTTGCTAGTCAGGTGCTGTACCACTTGAGCCACACCTCTAGCCCATGTATAAAATTTTTATAGCTATGAAAGCACTTCCATGTGGTTTGGGAAAGAGATTTGGGGAAGTTCATTATTGCATATCACCACTGTCTTCAGCTACCCAGAAATTGACCATTTTCCAATTTTATAAAAACATCTTAATAACATTATTTTAATAGCTATATAACATTGCAAGGGTTGTATATAAAATTTGCTTGAACAATATTCAAATACTGCACATAGAGTTTTTCATTCAACTAAATTCTACAATTATTAATTCAGGCTACCCTTATAGATTTAGTAGATACTCAATAAATATCTCTTAAATGGATGGAGGAATGAATAAGAGATTGGGTAGGATGGGGTGGGCTAAGAAATCAGTCTAAATTTGGGATAGGGCTCCAAGAGATGAGATGAGGCAAGGTGGCCTATCCACATGGTCTAAAGTAGGAAAAGAGTCAGGGGAAGGTCTGATTCAAGATCTTGAGTGATATTTTTGGTGATGGAGAAAATCATGAACAAGAAAGCCAAGATTCAGCAGCTGAGACATAGGGAAGCACTTCAATGAGAAAGGCCAAAAATAAGGAACAGGGATTCTTCCAAGAACACTGCTGTAGACCGCATTGGAACCTGTACCTAGACAGCATCACTGCATGAATTCATGGCTCATGGATGCAATGGGTTGGCCCAGTGACCTGAATTGGGCTATATAGATACCAAAAATAAAGTAGGTCAATTTAAATTTTTAGAAGTTTACTGTGCATACAACAAAAAGTTCTTGAACCAGGAGATCTCAAACTGAAAGTAGTTAGAAGTAGCTCAGAAGTATGTCATTACAGAGTGGTTTAGACAAATAAAGCAAAAAGGAAGAAGTTGTTTAATCTTTACAATGATTGATTATTACAAGATGGGCTTCCAGAAGGCAGAGGACTGGTTATAAGTGATCATCTTTTACCATTAAGGGAAGGAAACTTAAGTTTTGTTTGCAATTATCAAATATATTTACAAAACATAACCTACGTTCCACTTAGGTTATTTACAACTGCCTTTGTCCCATTTGATTTGATCAAATCAAATTGGTAAGGATTACTAATGGAACGCATGTAAAATTAAACTAAATAATACAAGATTATACCACAAAATAGGTAGAGCAAACTTTACTATAGTTTTGTCCAGTACTTTCTCTATGGTTTCATATTTGCAGCAGCAGAGCATGTATTTCCTTTGTAAAAAAGACTTCATCATTTTTTAAATGATGTTATCCTAAAGATATCATGAGGGAAAAGGTGGTTGCTACTGAGGCATACTAAATGTGAGGAAGAACTTAATAGTATTTTCTCTAGAAAAATCCTTAAGTCATTTTTACAAATTTAATTAATCATATCATAAAGCCTTTAACTTTTCCTCCTTTGTATTAAATCTTTCATTTAAAATGATAATTTACAGGCAGTTACTTTTCTTATGAACAAGGTAAAGTTTGAACTTTTTTCCTTAAAGATCTCTGCTGGAAAAGTTAACTATGTCCTCAGCTCTGATCAATATCTAATAAGGTTTTAAAACTTGGTAAAATATCAATAGAAGTTAAAAGATTGATTACAAACTAGGTAATTGTGGGCTGTGTTATTGCTTGGAGAATACTACAGTTTTTTTCTGAAGTAGAAACATTTAAGCGTACGCATTCAGTCGCTCTATATTTTTTAATAAAGTAGAGGGGGAGTTGAATTCACCTGCATGTGGTTGCTATGACAGTTCCTTCCACCTCAAGTGCCTTGTGCCCACTTTATCAGGAAACACGAACTCTCTCTTCAAGGTCAGATCAGGCATCCCTTCCCTTGGATGCCCCTTACTTCAGGAGCCAGACCATGAATTTCCTGTTGGGCTCTCATCAAGCACTGTCCAAATATGTAGTACAGTACTTATCAGGATGTCCTGGAACTCTTGTACGTAAAAGCCCGTAGTAAATTTGAGTTCAAGGGAACAGACTCATTTTCTTGCGTTTTATTTTGGAAGCATTTGCATGGTCTTGCTACTCATAAATAGTATGAAACTAGACTAATTTGTTGAGTATTTCATCAATGAACAATAAAATAGCTGTTATTGTTCAAATATTAGCCTTATAAGCATACATATTGCCCCTTACATTTAGTGAGATCTCCCATAATTGTTGTAGAAACTTCCAATAAACAAAACAGTAAGTAAATGCGTAGTGAATAGATTATCCCCATTCTGTCCTTGGTTTTATGCTCAGGTAACTTTATACCCATCATTCAGTGTAGAGCAGTGTTTACGTAATACATATGCAACATGCATCAATGACCAGGAGGTGTGAAACATGACCCTGTCTCAGAAAAGGGAAAATACATTTAACTGTAAAAGAAGAAAGACAGGTTTTCTTAAGAAAAAGAAAATAGAGAAAAGAGAGCTTCAATTCATAACTTCTTCTCTCACCAAAAATATTTATGTATTTAGATGAAAAATCAGGGGAGGCTTTTGAAATATGAATGAATAAAATTATGTAGAACACTGTGATGACAATATACAAAACTGAATAACTCGTTAATTGAAAAGCTATTGTTTCATATCTACCTGGTGCCCAACAATTTTGATGAGTGCTATGAGGGTCATAGGGACACACACAAATTCTCAGGTATGACCCATTTTCTCAAAAACTTGCTTTTATAGACAAGAATGCAAAGCTAGCATAAAACAGCAGGGGAACTCTCCAGTTTCCTAAGCAGATGGTGACAGCTGTGTCCTAAAAAGATTAGTTTGATGCCACCTGCCTGGACTGGAAATTTTGGGAGCACAAAGAGAAATGGGGAAACACCCAGGACGAATGCCCTGGTTGTTGGTAGCTGGGCATAGGAGCCAGTTACCAAGAAACTGAACACAAAACCACCCAGAGGCACAGTGGCCAGGTGGCAAAGGAAAGGCAAAAATAGGAGGATGTTCTTCCGTGGTCATGTCTGTTTCTCCAGGAGCAGGAGGGGACATTTCTGAGGAAAAGGGCACGTGGTGAGTCAGGACAGCCTTCATTCCTGGGTGAACTCAAACCACTCGAGCAAGCTATTTGTAAAATGGTCTTTCACAAATCTTGCATTTCATAGTCTAAAAATCCTTAGCTGGTTAATACCATAAGAACACAAATTTAATTATGAATCTCAAACCACTTGAGCAAGCTATTTGTAAAATGGTCTTTCACAAATCTTGCATTTCATAGTCTAAAAATCCTTAGCTGGTTAATACCATAAGAACACAAATTTAATTATGAGTAGACGAATTATTTTGTTTTCTGCAAGTTTTAAATACATGAAAAAAATTCACTTTCAAATTAATGTATTCAGTCATATTTGATATAGATTAACATGTAATTGAAATTTTAATTTTAATAGGTTTAGGCTTAAAACTTATAAAGTTCAACTATAGAATCAATAAAATTACTGTCACCCTAAGTGCTCAGCTATTGGTACTAGGTGATGCGTGTGAAAGTAGAGATCTGAATGCTGTTCATAGTGAACTGTTTGTCATAAACCCTGTTAACTGATCCTTCAGGTCCCCAAATGGTCCAAGTCCAGAGTCAGCAGTTTCAGATCCACTCCAGAGATGGCAAGCCACTGTTCACCGCTGATGACAAGGAAGTTGTGGTTGGTACGGATAAGCTTCGAGTAACCGGTAGGTAGTAACCTTGAGGAAAATTGTGTCCCGTGGAGTGTTAAGGCCACAAACATTGTACTTTTGGCACTCTGGACTTTTTAGACAAATAAGAAAATGTAGTTTGAATTTTTTATGGCCTTGACTTTCTTTCTATATTCTCCTAGAAGAATTAAATCTTTATGAATCTTTGCCCACGCTTTTCTTCTTCTGCCATAGTGGCCCCCTTATTTCTTTCCAATTGGAGTAGCACAAAGGCATGCAAACCTTCTGTGCAATTCCACTGTCTGTTTTTCAAGTTTCTTTTATTATGTCATTGTAATGTTAATGTAATATAATTTGAAGAAATACGTATCCATTATGTCAGGTATTTGGATTCCCTATTCTTTTACAAAAGACAAACAATTAAAAATCTTTTCTCTTGTGGAATTAAAGAATAGGATTCTCATAGGATTCACTTTTAGGTTGAAAAGAAAAAAATTTATGCAAAACATTTTGGAATATATTCTAAATTCACTGAGAAACTTCTGTGAAGATTAGAAGACATAAACACTCAGTTAAATCATGTCAACATTTCTGTACTATTCTGAAAACCAATAGCAATGTTGTTCTATCTAACAATATTACCAAATGAAAACAAAATAGTGTTTCTTGGTCCAGTAGGTGGACCTGATCCAAATACAAAGGTTTATATAGCATATATAATTCCTTTAAAAAGCCTATAAAAATCATAACCTAATGTTGCAGCATACTCTGAAGCAGTGGTGCTCCTGCCTTTCTTACTAAAATAAAAGACACTAGGAAATCTAATTAAGGGAAATTGCTTAATAAATAAAAGGCCAAGTATCCCAAGTGTCTTTGTCATCAGAAAACCCCTGGTCCATAGCATAGATGGTCCTGTCTTATGACAGTTAGACTTCATTTTAGACATTACAATGATGAAGATACACATTGATTGGAAACTGTGGTTGGAACTTTGAATTTGGATCTTTTCTTGGACTCATGCTGTATGGTTCTGTCTGCTCTCACACTGCTGGCCAACTGCAGTGCCCACGGCTCCCAGGTGGTCCCTAATCACAGCATCATGCACCCCTGAACTAGGATGGCCTGTAGCTTAGGTGAATTAAATTCATTTCCCACTTGTGGTGTTTTCAATTTACAATTGAATTGCTGGGCTGTGACACCACTGTTGGTTGAGGACACATAGGCAATATGGGCTTTGCTGACATAGACATAGCTTCTGTTTCTGCTTCAACAGTTACTAACTGCATGGCTTCAAGCAAGATACTTAAGCTCTGTTGGCTGTTTCCTTGCTGTTTTGTTTGGTTTTGGCAAAACTGGGGATTGAACTGAGCCCCATGTGGCCAGCCCTGTCTCCTTACTTTTGCGAGTGCATTGATACTGCCACTCCACTGCTGCTGATAGACTGCATGGACTAATATGTGTAAAGAAGAACATAGTTCTTGGTGCAGTATTATTGCACTATAGGACAATGACATCTGTAGGGAAAATGGTCTAAACAACAGCTTAGATTGCTTCAGACCAAAGCTATCCTTCAAAGGGAATCAGTAAAATGAACCTTTGCCCAGCCCAGGGCTAGAACATCATTAGTGGAGCAAATCAGGAGACTTGATGAGCAGCTGTATTATTTCTTACCCATGTGCATACATCAGGACCACATAAAGTCTTGTTGTATTGTATCCATATTTACTGTGCTCATCCCCAGAGTTTCTGATTCAGTAGAGCTGGAATGAATGCATCATGAGACATGCATTTCTAACAAGTTTCCAGCTGGGTGCTGGTGCTGTAGTTCCAGGGACCACACTTTGTGAACCACTGCTCTACACTAACTTGACCTGTGAGTGGAAGATGCAACACACAGATGCCTTCTCTAACATGGACATTCAGGTATCCTCTTAAAGAATGAGCCACATCTACTTTTTTGTCTTCGTTTGGTTGTTTTCAGTCTCTCTTCCTTCGCTTCAGAGGAGCTCACAAGAGTGGATACACCCCAAGTGTTCCTTCCTTGTCATTGTGCCATAACAGTAATGTGAAGTTCTTTCGTCATGCAGCCGTGAGTGGCTCGTATATGACCAGACTTTAGCTCTTCTAGTTTTCCAATGTGCTCCTGGCTTCTTAAATTTTATAGTAATAGAAATGCAAGAAAATTCCACAATTCTGACTTTTTATCTTCTGGTTTCATCTCAGTCTGAGGACTGACTATCTACATGTATTGTCTAACTCAGGATTTCTCAACATTAACACTATTAACATCTGGGATGGATACCCATTTTGGCTTGCACGTGGGACTGTCCTGTGCACTGCAGAATGTTTAACCACAGCTCAGCTTCCTCCACAAATGCCAATAGCATCTTCACCACACCCATTGTGACCAAAAGCATTTCCATTTGTTACCAAAAATCCTCCAGGAGGGAAAGGAGAAGGAAAAAATCACCCCTAACAGAGACCCACTGGTCCACCCTAAACCTATACCATTTCTCTGGAATTTATTCCAATTTATTTAGTATTTGTCTGGGCAGATGAAGACACGAACTGTTGGGTAAGGTCTGCTAAGGACAGTGAATGAATCCAGGAGCAGCCTGGAGAAATGAATTGATTCTGCCATGGTGAGAGAGGCTTCTCAGATGTGGCAGAGGTTATCGGGAAGAAAAACTAAGGATTATAATTTTATGCAGAGTGTAGTACATGAATGGATATTAATTAACAATTGCTAAAGGTTGCAATAGGTAACTTTTTAAGGATGAGACTGAGTTCCAATTCCAGCTGCTCAATAGTGACTTTGAAAGAGTATTTCACCTTCATGGCTTCACACTACTATATCCACTGATTTATATCCACTGATCTCTCTCTGACTGTAGTGTATTGCATAGCATCCAACAAAGCAAATACAAATTGATTGTGAAATTAAATTGTAAATCTTGCAAAAGATGCAAGGTTTTGGGAGGTAAAAAATGGTGTAGAAATGTTGGGATCACCATCAGAATTACTAACAACAGAGGCCAGGAAAGTTCAACTTGCCAGTCCCTGCAGAAGACATGACAGACACATCAAACAGGAATCATTTCAATATCCCTGATTAATATTCACCCTTGGAATGACCAAAGATGCCCTCAATGACTGTTTATTATGGTTTTACTTACCAACGTTAAACATGAAGTGAACAATGCCATATTGTGCTACTGTGATATTGTGCAGAGTTCTAAAGATGACCCCCAATGACCTTTGCCCTTGTATAATTCCCTCCCTTGTGAATCTAATGAGACGTCTCTCTTGTGATCACATTAACAATATGACAGCAGGTAGATACTCCAGGTGGCCTGATCTGATCACATGAGCCCCTCATAAGCAGTAACTGAAGGGGAAGTCAGAGAAATTCAAGGAAAAGAAGGATTACAGCTTAGTTTCTCATGAAGATGCAGGCGACACTGGGACAATGAGTGTGGTGGCCTATAGAAGCTGACAGCAAGGAAATAGGGACTCAGCCTGACAGCCACAAGGAACTGAATTCTGCCAGCTACCTAAGTGAGCTGGGAAGTAGCTTTGGCCCAGAGCCTCCAGGGGAGGCCCACACCTGTTAGATCCTGGGCTTACAACCCAGCCAAGCCCACTGAATAGGATTTGAGGCCTACAGAACTGCGATCTGATAATTGGGAATGGTCATAAGCAGCTATGTTTGTCATAATTTGTGTCAGAAACAGAAATCTAAATACAGACATCATTCATTTCCAATTATGTTGGAAAAATTATACCCTGAACAAACTTGATTTATTCTGTTTATTTCATGTAATGTAGTTACTATTACTATGACTCAATCTTAAATACAATAGAATAGTTTTATAAACTACTTTTTCAAGATAAATTCCCATTACAACTTTTCTGCAGTACTTCTTAGGAAAGTTCCATCCCTATTTTAAGTGGACTGACTCCAAGTAGACTTTGGACTTTCTCAGATTAGCAAAAGTAGTTGCAGTTGACAGCTAAGGAAAGTACAGAAGGAGGAAAAAGCAAGGCAGCCTCATCCTGAGGACTGGGGCTAGAGGGGAGGGATGAGGTGGTTCTCAGTTTCACTTGCTGTCCTCCAAACTCCTGACTTGGATAAAGAATTGGTTTTCTTCCCATTTATGTTTGTCTTTATTACTCAAAAAATATCAAAGAATAAGAAAAACCACAACTAGAAATCTGCTTTTAAGTCAGATTTATGGAGAGGATTAAGCAATTTCACCAGCTCAGTTTGGAATTAACCTAGGCCCCATTCTCACATTTCCCAAGAACAGAACTGATCTCCAAGTGACCAAAGTTAACATGTCTCTTGTACTAACCTCTGTTACATAACACACTGGAATTACACCAAATGTCATCTTCAGAAGAAACATTCTGTACCATTGCCGGAAGTGGCTGCTGGAAGATGATAAATTGCTAGTTGGGCTGCCCAGATGGACTTTAGCTCCTTTCTAGGCTGGATTTATTCCCCAACATTAAGTTAAAAAAAATATAGGGCCCTATAATAGTATCCAATTCCCTCCCACCAGTAATGAAAATCTAAGTGATAGGCTCTGTTCCCATTCTGTGCAGCTAAGCAGAATCCCATAAAGTCGAAAGTGATGGTTCTCTACAAAGCAGTGACAGAGCAGTCCTGAGAACGAGGATTTCAACAAGGAAAATAGACAAGGATAAGTCCAAGTCCCATAAGACATGAGGACAGACATCTGGAAGGTGCTTAAAGATCAACATAGCTTCAAGCTCATACCTAGGACCACAGAACACTGTGATACATCTCTGTGTGCAGCTCATGGGCCTCATCTCATGGGCACCAGTCTTTCAGCTGAAAGGAGAGAAGACTCAATTAAAATTGTAGCATATATTATCTCACAAAGGAAGTCTGGAGGTATGGTAGCTCCAAGTTGGGTAATTTAAGGTCCAAGTAATATTTCACTCTAAGCCTTTCCCACCTGCATTCTCCTTTTGGTTCCATCAGAACCAAGCATCTTTTCCCTCTGCAG